GGGGGGGGGGGAGTGGGGAGAGATAAACCAAAGAACTTATATGCATATATGCATAACCCATGGACACAGCCAATAGTGTGGGGAAGGCCTGGGGCTGGGGATGGGTGGGGGGCAGAAAGGATCAATGGGGAAAAAGGGGGGACATCTGTAATACTTTTGACAGTAAAGATAAATTTAAAAATAAAGAAAGAAAAAGCTTGTCCAATAGCGCATTTGCCATTTACTGGTTATAGTGAACTTTCATTTTTAAGGGTCTACAGAAAGGGTTAAGGGAAAGTTTAATAGGAGACCCCCTGCATAAAGCGGTATCCCCATTGCCCATCCGGCCTGTATCCAGCACCCTCCTCCCCCAGCCCAACTGGAAGAATGGGAACAAAATTTCTCCTGAGGAGGGAAACACATTTTAAGAGAGTTCATATTCTAAAGCCAGTGCTTGCAAATCATGCCTTTGCAGACTGAATTTATGCTACCCAGCGGCCTCCAACAACCTCTAAAGTCACCGTGTGTCAGTAAAGTAATTCTGTGCCTACAGAAGCAAATTAGCAAAGATGAGTCATCTCCAGGATCCACCACCAACCTTGGCCTGAAAGAAGTCCCACAGATGAAGTTTTGGAGAATCTGAAGTCCCAAAAGGCAGGAAGATGGATGAGTGTGAGGATACGAAGAGAGGACAGGCGGGGGGAGGGCTCAGAAGAGGAGAAGGGAGGGACGGCAGGGAGTAAAGGAGGAGGGAAACAAGCATTGCTTTCAAAAATCAGCAGAAACAGGAAACGGCAGAATTAAAATCCCCCCAAATCCTCAGAGTGAAATGACTGGACCTATGTATAATGTATTTTAAAAGTTAAAAAAGGGAGTTTAAATTATGATTTTTTAAAAATATATCTTTATTGATTTCAGAGAGAGGCAGGGACAGGGGGAGAGGGACAGAGAGAAACATCAGTGATGAGGGTCCTTGGCAGGCTGCCTCTTGCACGCCCCCTGCTGGGGATCAGCCTGCAAGGCACGTGCCCTGAGGGAATCGCACTGTGACCTGGTTCCTAGGCCAGTGCTCAACCCCTGAGCAACCCCGGCCTGGCTAAATCATGATTTTTAAAAAAGATGGCCAAGTAAATTTGAAAAGGAGCAAATAAAACTTACAGGCACTTAAGAAGCACTGACATTAAAACTCAGAGTTTGGTTTTAAAATAGTGACTCTCTAAGGGAGGAAAACTGGAAGAAAGCTCTTAGGGATGTACCCAAAACCCATCACAAAAAGTCAAAAAACAGGTAACAGCATGGGTTTTACTCCTTTTTAAATATTTCCTAAGACTCCAGGCAATTTAATTACTAAGCTCTGTTGTTTTCGTGTATTGAACAAAAGCACTTCTGGATCCTTAAGAAAACCCTAAGATACTCATCCACACACCTGTGAATCAACGTGAATCACTGCGAATGTACCCTTGTAACAGGAAAAAACGTATGTTTATTTATATATAATAACAGAGGTTTACTGTCAGCGGAAGCAAGCCCTGTTAAACAGCGGCCCACAAACGGGGCGAGGTTTGCACGACCACGGCAGCCCCCCCGGTACTCACAGTAGGCGCAGCCGTAGACCTCGATGCGCAGCCCGATGCGCCCCTCTCCGTTCCAGTCCAGCGGCACGAAGCGCACGTGGCGGGCGGTGACCGGGTGCTGTAAGTCGTGCCGGACCACGCTATCCGAGTTGATGTTCCCGGGAAACGCCTGAGGAAAAGTGGGATTTACAAATTAGGGGGGTGGGGAAATACCTTAGAAACAACCATGCTCTCTGCCAAACTAAACTTAAAATTTTCCTATCCAATGGCAGGATTTTATACTCTCCGCACTAAAAACAATTTGTAAAACACTTATATTTATTGGAAAACAAGTCAAGTTTTATTTTTTTAATATGTTTTATTGATTTCTTAGATAGAAACCAAGGGAGAGAGAGAGAAACATCTGTGAGAGAGATGCATACTGGGGATTCCACCAGCATGTGCCCTGACCAGGAACAGAATGGAAACTGAACCAAAAGTTCTCTGGGCCCTTTCACATATGTAAATATACTCAGATGTTAAAAGAATGAAATACTGTATGGTATCCACTGTAGTATACAATAAACATTTAAATGATGAGTTCTAAAATTTGAGTTACACAATAAGTAATTTTTCCTAAAATCCAACCCTATTTCTTGCTTTTAAAAAACCCTCTCCACATTACCTTCCTATGTCCTCATTAGAAATTTGACTTTTTCAACACCCATCGGGTAAAAAGAACAATCAACTATGTTGTGCTTTTTTTTTTTTAAGAAATGAAATAAGAAACCCACAGTCAGGAGATTGGGGTTGTGGAGATCACACCACGGGCAGGATGACTAGTGACAAGGAACTGAGTCAGTACCAATGCGTGCGGTATGGGAAAGTTTAAGAAAAAAACATACGATATTTCAAAAGAAGAAGTGATAACATTTACCCACAGGTGAGAGAAAGAGGGAAGGCAGGCGGATCACAGGGGAGACAGCTGTCCCTCCCTCCTCAGCACACTCTTTTCTTTGAGTAACAGCCCCTGGATTTTACTTTAAAAGGTCACCCAGTCAGCACTCTACACCCACCTGACTCGGCACAGGCGGATGCCAGTGGGCAGCACAGGAGAGGTACCTAACTCAAGGAGACTCAGTTTTAGCACCTGTGGTGGAACAAGTAAACCATTCATTCATTCATTCATTCATTCATTCATTCATTCATTCATTCATTCATTCACTGGTCCACTCGCTTACTTACTCAGGAGATATCTGAGCATCTTCTTTGTACCAGATACTGTTCACTCCACTGGCTACAGCAGTGAACGGTATAGACAGTTTCACTTTTCACTTTTAACATTTAACAACATAAATGTTAAAATATATACTGAGGCGGATAAATAATGGAAGCATAATGAATATATCACCGATACTGTTATATATTTTGTATAACATGTTATACACTGTATTATTTGTTGTATATTAATATAAGATTGTTATACATTGTATATATTAAATCACATATATGCAAAGCCAGTTGCAAAGCCCCTGAGCATACTGGGCATGTTTGGGGGACAGGAAGGAAGCCAGTGTTCTGGGAGCACGTGAGGAAGGGAGGAGTCGGGGGAGGTGTTGGGGAGGGGAGGTCAGAGCAAGGAGGGCCTGTAGGCCTTGGTAATGTTGCAGATTTCATTTCAGATGCGCCAGAAGGAAATCCATGGGAGAGCTTTAAGCAAGAAAAATTACTCATCTTGTAATTTTTAAGACTGAGGCCTAAAATCTCCCTCCCCAATTAAAATGAAGTTCCTCTGAGAACAACAGAAGACTGCAGCATAATGTAAAATACACAATTGGGCATTTTGCTATTATAAAGGGTTGTATGTCAGAGAAAGACCAAATAGGCAAAATGTGAGGACATCATTTGAGCACCGAAATCCAGAGTTGCTCCAGGCTTTTTCACAATCGGACCTCATTTGTTTATTTGTTTTTTAAGGAACTGAAAAAAATCAAGTAACAGAGATATCTGAAGGGAAAGATAGTGAAGATTTAAATATATTACATTTGAGATTCCACCATCGAATTAAAAGACCACACAGAGAATTTGAGAATCTGAGATGTTAAGGAGGACTGTGCTTTATCCAAGTTTGGCTTTACAGAGCGAGCGGGTCCATTCATTATTCATGAACAGTGCATGACACAGGTATTTTCTTCAGGATTCACAGCATCAGAAGGCTGTGTTTTTTTGTACTTCATTTCCAAGCATACTGAGACTTAAGATAGTATCCTCACTGAAGTTTAAAACACTTGCAAAGAATGGCGTAGGTGTTCCTGATCATTGTCTTGAATACAAAAGCCTAAATATGTGTGAAATGTCTCCTTTTATGTAGCAGTTTTTTGGGAAAGTTAAGGAACATAGAAGGTATAGCCACTGATTTAATAAAAACATTATCTAATACTTATATATCACGTTATTATTTAAAGGGTTCTAGTCCATAATGTATTGTTGGTGTATGACAGAAAACTCTAACTTTAGAAGGGATGCAATTTTTATTTTTTTTCCCAAATCAGGAAACTCAGGCTCAGAAGAACGAGAGAAAATACTGGAAGCTGAATAGCTAATGAGGGCAAACCAGGGCCAAGGCAAGAGCTTATCCAATCCTATCCTAACCTTCCAGCATCAAATTTTAGCTGGGAATAAAGGTTTCTCTCTTTGGGCACAACACATTTATTTTTGATGTTTGCTATTACGTATCTGGATATCCAATACAGAGTTCGATCATTTTTCTCAACCATGTTTGAGACATTTGTTTGATTTCCAGTCCATTTATTAGATAGAGTATTTTGCCTGCATAGTTTACTTCTCTCTGCATTCTTATTTCCATGAATTCTGACATTAGTATTTTCCTTTCTCAGACATCTTCCCAAAACAGGTTCCTTTTGTGGTCCTTAGCAAAAGCTCCTTGGCATTTTTAATACAAGTAATTAGGAGTTTGAATGACACTTTCACTGAAAGGAAAAAAAACTGGTCTGCTATGATGCATACAGCATTTTAGTTGTAATGACTACAATTCATAGGCTTTGAAAAGGACCATTTGTTCTACACAATTTGACTTTCACCTTCACTGGCAGCTTTCACATAGATATAAAAAGGGAGGGGGAAACACAAGGAAACACATACAGCTGATTTTTACAAAATCTTTAAGATTTGGAAATCCACATCAAAATTAAAAGGTTAAAATGAATTTGAATCTTTCTTGAATGCAACACTGTCATTTAAAATTCCACCTTAGCCCAGCTGGTGGCGTGGCTCAGAGGTTGAGCATCGACCTAGGATCTGGGAGATCACAGTTCAATTCCCCACCAGGGCACATGCCAGGGGTGTGGGCTCAATCCCCAGGGGGGGCGTGAGGGAGGCAGCCAATCAATGACTCTCTCATCGATGTCTCTGTCTCTCTCTCCCTCTCTCTTCCTCTCTCTGAAATCAATAAAAACATATTAAAATTAATTAAATAAAATTCCACCTTCATTTAGACAAATGTCACACAGTAATATATGCTTTGTGTGTACATGAAAACACCAGACTCATCCCTGTAAGACTGAAAAATCAATTTACAGGAGCTTGAGAATTATATGTTGTCGCTATTAAATCTCTTCTGGCTGTGATTTGTGTAGATGCTTAAAAGGATAGTTTTGTTTTGCTTTGTTTTACCAACATAGCATTTATGTAACTTGCAAAGCTTTATGCTTAGTAAAGCTAAGAACAATATAATACAGTGTTAAACCTATGGCAAGACTTTATGGTCCTATAAATTGTTAAATACCCAGCAAAGAGCTGGAGCTTTTTTTGCTTTTTTTTCTTAGATATTGTGAATCGCTCAGAAGAACTTTCAAATAAGCTAAACATTACTGAAATTTTAATAACTGAATATTTTCATTGCGTGCACTAAATATTTCCTCTCCCTCAAACAACAGTTCAGATGGCCTAAGAGAGGGAGAGGCAAACTTTTTTGTAAAGGCCCAAACAGTAAATACATATTTTGGGTTTTCAGGTCACACACCTCTCAGCCTGTACCCTCTTTCTTCACCTTCTCTGTTATTATTTTTTTTTTTAAATAACTTGAAAAATGTAAAAACAATCTTAGTGCATGGACTTTAAAAGAGCAGGCAGGGCCCGGCCAGCGTGGCTCAGTGGTTGAGCATCCACCTCTGAAACAGGAGGTCTAGTTCGATTCCTGGTCAGGGCACATGGGAGGGTGAGGCCTCCAGCCCCAGCAGGGGGTGTGCAGGAGGCATCCAATCAATGACTCTCTCATCATATTAAAAAAAAAAGAGGCAGGGACCAGAGTGGGTGATGGGCTGTAGTGTGCCAGCCCCTGATCTAAGAGAATCTTTCAAGTTAATCAATCCTTCCCTTAACTCAGGATGAAAAAATCTCAAGTCTTCAGGAGACTGTTTAGCTGCATGGCAGTTAAAAACCAATATATAGTGGTCCCTCAGTTTCCGAATGTAAACTGTCCAGAAGACCATTCGAGCTCTGAAATGTTCCAAAACTGAGGGATCCACAGCCGACAGCTAGGCCTCAGGATCTTGCCCTCAGCAGAAGACATGGGGCGTGTTCGACTTCCGAGGCGAGTTCAAAAATGGAAGCATTTCCTTCCAGGTTTACGGCATTCGTAACCTGAAATGTTTGTCAACGGAGATGTTCAAAAACCAAGGCACCAATGTAGATTGGGAAACCATCCTGTCACTTTTGGTGTAATTATCAGACTGCAGGGAAACACCAGGGATTCAGGAGTGTGCTGTGTGTGATGCATAAGCTAAAATTTCCTTCTAATTCACTGTTATGGGGTCTAAAGCGTAACTTATGAGGTATTTATTTTTTTCAATGATGTCTTTATTGATTTCAGGGAGAGGGGGGCAGAGAGAGAGATACAGAAACATCAATGATGAGAGTCACTGATTGGCTGCCTCCTGCACCGCCCCAGCAAGGGATGGAGCCCGCAACCCAGGCATGTGCCCTGACCAGGAACTGAACCCCAATCTCCTGGATCCTAGGTTGATGCTCAACCACTGAGCCATGCCAGCAGGGCTTATGAAGTATTTATGAAGAGAATACATATATTTAGTCCTCACTAAAATGTCAGATTTCAAGACACCTGCCCTGCAGCAAATGGCTGGACTGTACAGCCCCAGCCACAGTTTTGCC